CTGATCCTGATGGACAACCAGTCGACAGCGGGACAATGAAGGTGACGTTAGTTCGAGCCGGATCTGTCGATTGCTCGACTGTCGCCCCAAGCGTCACGGTCGACTGAAGAACCTGGACCTCAGACACTTTCCCGCCCAGTTCCTTGTCTTTCCTCCTCCTCCCCCTTAGCGGTACTTCTTCTTCATCACCTGGGAGCACAACAACATCCCGTGGAACTGCAATAAATAGATAAAGTCGTACGGATAGCTGACAAACAATCCGGTCGTCCAAATAAATTCGAATCGGGTAGACTTACTGGCTTTGGAGGTAGCTGCGTCGTTGGTTTCCTCGTTGACCGGATTCTTGTCAATGTCCATGTCAGTCACAGCTGAGGTCAGGCTATAAAGGTTCATCATCCATTCGGTCAGAACAAAAAAGTCGGTCAGAACAAGAAAATACAGGAAGAACATTTACCCAGAAGCAACAGGAACGTCCATGTTGATTCTAGGCAAGGTCTTCCAAGCCTTCGAAGGATTGACCTTGGGCTGCTTGGTGACCTTCTCAGCCAATTCTGGAGTCGGAGACCGAGCGCATTTTTGAGATGAAGCACTCGACGCCATAGCTTTACCGCGCCTGCCCATGGGATCATGGTGCTGCTTGGATCGACGTTCAGAACGAGGCGATGAGTCGGCTACTTCCTCATCGCCCGACTCATCGCTCTCATCTTCATCATCGTCGGCTGGTGACTCCCACTCGCCGCTCTCCTCCGCACTGTCCTCGCCCTCTTGGTCTTGCTCCAGAGCTTGTTCACCATTGGGCATTGAATACATCTCCGTGTAAATCTACAAAACAAGGAGCCGACTGCAAGTCAGTTGGATCAACAAACAGTCGGAAAACACGTCTAAAAGCTCAGTTGAAATGGCCAAACCTTGTCTGGTTGGTTTCTGTCGCTGAAAGGGTTGACTCTCCTGGCGCCCCTGGGGTTGTCCTTGTTCCCGGTGATACCCCTCAGCCACTCGGCCACTGTTTTGGCTGCCACCTCCTCCGGATGAACCCGGGCGGTGTCACCAGCCCCGGAGTACATCCACATGGAGTGGTCACGAGCTTGGAGTGGTTGGATGCACCGACTGAGGAACACCTCTAGTAGATCCATGCCAGTGACACCTTGGTTGATCAACTGAACCACTCTCTCGACGAGCATGCATGTCTCCGCCTTCTCCGCGGCAGTCACTTTCAACGAAGATGGAGTTTGAACACGATCAAAAGAGAAAGGGGGAAGTTCAGTCGACTGGCCTGGCGTCACGATGTCCTGGCAGTAGAACCAGGTCGAGTGCCAGCCCCTGACCGACTCCGGAAGAGTCGTCGAGGGAAAAGAACTTCTTTTCCTCTTCTGAATACCCAGACCCCCACACATCTGGATAACATGGGTTTTCTTGTCGTTCGAGTTCGCTTTCTTCACTGTTTGGGAGCGGATGGTAAAGATGTGCTTGAAAAGACCCCAGTGCGGTCGACACCCTAGGACATTCTCGCACATGGATACGAACGCGGCAAGATACGTGATGGTGTTGGGAGTAAAATGATGGAGTTGGGCCCCAAAGAAATTCAAGAAACCCCAAAAGAAGGGGTGTGGAGGAAGCGAGAAGCCGCGGTCGACATGGGTGGCGAGCGGAACGCACTCACCCGGTCGCGGCTGCGGTTCCGTTTCCCCCTCCGGCAGCCGCGCAGACTCGTGGACGATCAACCCTAACTCGGCCATATCGTCCAAGTCCTCCTGTCGAAGCGAAGATCGGATCCAATCTCTCTGGATCCAACCCGACGACAGCCCCGAGCGCGATGAAGACCCCCAATTCGTCTTCCTGCTTTTCGTTGCCCCCGTCGCCTTCTTCGCGTGTTCCAGCGCCGCCATTCTCTCCTTCCCCATGGCGGCGGAGCGGTGGCGTCGAGAGTGGAGAAGCCGGATGGGGTGAAGGAGCAAGAGGAAGAAGAAGCAGAATGGGCACGCACAGTGCGGACGCCTCGGTCTCGCCGCTTTTAAAGGCCCACTTCCGAGTGGCTGACGTGTTGGTCCGGCGATCCTGTCAAATCCCTCAAACAGTCACGCATGGGATACGTGGCGAAAAAGGTGGCGCGGAAATCAAAATGCCCTGTCTATCCACTCCGCTTACCACGGCACGTTCCGTCTGGCGCGCTCCTACCGAAATTTCGAATCCTGCGAAATCCGGGATCCTCGGCAACTGATCACGCCAAAGATTTCGCATCAAAGATGACACTCGACAAGCGACGTTATAAAAACCAATCAGTAATTGCTGAATCGATCAAGGCGACTGAAACGAAGCCGAAAGTTCCAACACTGGCCTCCATTCAGAGATGAATTCTTGAGAAAGGCAAGAGTCAAGGCAAGATCAACTTCAACCTTCTTTTCACTCAGACCTCAATCCATTCGGGGGCTAATGATGAGGACATAGACCTGGGGTAGGGTAGGCCTGACCTATACGTCCTACCTAAGGTCCTTGTCTTAGAAGCAAAGAAGTTCAAGAGTAAAGAAGGTGGACCCAATAAAGGCGTCGAGTGCAATCCACTCGACCCACCATTCACTCGGAGACTACTTCTTCTTTGAGTCACTCGACCATGTAAAAGACCACTCGACGTACAAGGAGACCTAAAGCCGTTCTGCACAGCAACGGTCGGGCATTTACTCGTATATTTAATGATCATTTGTAGCACTTTATTACATACGTTACCTGTAACGCTCTCTTTTTATGAACATTGAACCCTGTGTAACGGAGGGGAGCTGAGGTCCTGGCGCACTCTATATAAGCCACCCCCTCCTCTGGGACAAGGGTTCGCACCCCCTGTAACTTACACGAATATAATCCAGTCGACCGCCTCCGGGCTCCGAGACGTAGGGCTGTTACTTCCTCCGAGAAGGGCCTGAACTCGTAAAACTCGCGTGTACAACTCCTCCATAGCTAAGCTCTTGCCTCTACATCCCTACCCCCCTATTCTACTGTCAGACTTAGAACCACGACAGCAGGTTATACTCACGAAAGAGGAGATTGAAGTATGTCTTCCAGGCATAAAAAATCGCCTCTTTGTGGGAGAGGATGACCGGAACGCGACGTTCGATGGGAACATCACGAATGTAGGCAGGGTAAGGGAGGGTGGCGGCGGAGGAGTCGAGGGGGTTCGGCGGGCGCACTGCCGGAGGGGTGGAGGCGGCGGAGCGGTTGGAGAGATCGGAACCAGACATGGCGGAGGGTTCGGCCGGGGTAAGGTTAGGGTTTCGGGTGGCGGCGGGCGGCTAGCGGAGCAGAGGCGACAGGGGGCGGCTAGCGGCAGGGTTAGTGTTTGGT